GCAGCTGCCCCTGTCTGATCTGGGACTTGGCCTCCTGGTATATCTTACTGCTGTAGTAGCTGCCCTTGTTTCCTGCTACCAGCTTCTCTATCTTCTCCAGCAGCTCTGTGACCTGAGTGGCGCCCCTGTCCTTGTTGTTGAGGGCGTGATACCTGTTCTCACACTTTCCCAGCAGCCACTGGAGCTCCCTGCTGCCTGTGTGCACAAACTCCTCCAGCGTCCTGCTGGTCAGCTCATCAGCGTGGGTGAACAGGATAATGGTGTGTTCCAGGGCCTTCTCCCCGAATATCTCCAGTGTCCTCTTCTCCTCCCCTGTGGATCGGCCCAGCGGGGTCACCAGGAGGAAGGCATGGGGTCCCAGGGCAGACAAGTTAACACAGAGCCCCACATCCTGTCTCCTGTCCCCCTCAGACAGTCCAGTGTGGAGCCAGTCTGGAGTGTCCACTACAGTCACCCATCTCCCGGACACTTCCTGTCCTCTTCCGGCTCTCCTGAGTGACCGCGGAGCTGCTGGCTTTGGAGGGAAACTCTTCTGAGCCCAGGATGGTGTTTCCTGCTGCACTCTTCCCAGCACCAGTCCTGCCCAGCAGCACCAGTCTCAGCTCAGAGGGGCGGGGCTGGAGTCTGGGTTTGACTTAATTCACTGCAACAGGAGGAGAGACAGGAACATCAGGGAGGATACACATGAGAGGAGACCAACCTTTCCACAGATAAGAAGGGTTCAGTTTGCTCAAGAGTCAAAACTTAAAGAGCCATTATAAAAGAGACTCATAATCTTTAGCATCAACTAACTACAGAGTTTTACGGGATGTTCATGATTTTGTGAACTTTTGTCAGAACTTTTCCCCCCCAAAGTGAGTCAAGTTTCATTTTAAAAATCATGTTCACTTACCGGCCTTCAAGCAACAACAGTCATGCTGTAGTACTGTACTGTTACAGGGGCTGCCAGGAAACCAATTGGTAGAACAGGAGGAACTTTATGCGCAACCATGAATCTTGCAGAATGTGGGAATGTGAGGGGTTCAATTAGGAGTGAGATTGTGAAACAGTGGGCTTGGGAATGCAATGCCGTTTGCAAGGGAGAGTGTGGGGCGTGACAGGGGCAGAGTGTAGAAGGAAGTTAATTGAAGAAGGAGAGATAATCTCTTCAATCCAGTTAAGAGCAGTACTCTAGGAGAGTGTGCAGTCCAGTGCAATCATCCTTCTGGTATTTCACTCTGAAACTGATCACACCCAGAGTCAGAGTCCACTGTGTCTTTACTTCAGAGTATGAGAAGAGAGAAACAG